TGACTCTATATGACTCCACTTGAGTGTCTCCTGTCTTGCTCCTGGCTTCAGTGCTCCCTGTGTCTTCAGAGTGCCCCTGTGTCTCCTGTGCTGTAGTATCAGCAGCTCCAGCAGTCTCATGTTTCAGGCACTGTGCACAGTTGAGGTATCAGGAGGCGGTGACATTGCAGAAGGAACGAACTGCGAGTTTAGAACACTGCCTGGGGTAAAGCCGCCATGTACCACAGAGGAGAGAGGACACCATAGATCCAAAGGATGACACATGTTCAGGAAAGATTGACGCAGCGGCCATTGTCCCTGCCTGGAATGAATCTCTGTGCTCCCCCCAATCCTTTCTGGGGGCCCCTAGGCATGTTTTTGAGATGATGCGTGCTGTGTAATGTCAGGCCAAGCGTGTGCACCGAGCAGTGACTCAATAGCTCAGCTCACCTTGCTCCCCGCCCCAAGCAGTGACTCAATAGCTCAGCTCACCCTGCTCCCCGCCCCAAGCAGTGACTCAATAGCTCAGCTCACCTTGCTCCCCGCCCCAAGCAGTGACTCAATAGCTCAGCTCATAGCAGCTTAGCTCATTCTGCTCCCCCCTCCCAGCAGTGACTTGGCAGCTCAGCTTTCAACACACTAAACACATTGCTCTCCTTTTGCAGGGGTGACATCAGTGGTCACCTAATGGCCAAAGAATAATGGTGCTGGATGCAGAAAAATTGGCAGCAATGGGAAGGATGAGCAGGGAGCCGTCAGTGCTGCAGGAGGGCACACCATGAGAGAGCTAAGTCTGCTGCTATGTGCAAGCGCTATAATTCCAATTTAACACATAAGGTGAGCACTTCACACGTCACCTCCTTACATTAAACCCGACCCGCGAATCCTGCCGTGGTGCAGATATAAACACCCCCGTTATGTCTAGAACAAATTATAAATGATTATAAAGTAAAACAAGTCCATTATTCTGTCCTTATATTATCTTCCTGCAGAGCACGATTCACACAGGGAGAGGCACAGGCTGATTGGTCAAGTACAGGATGACTTCATCAGCGTGCTGCTCCTCCTTTCCTATCCAATCACAGGCCAGGGGCGGTCCTTGATCAAGCTGTATGAGGTCACAACTTGGCTGCGCCCCCTGACACAGATGTCTGAGCTGGAAACATGGCTGAACGGTATGACAGCATTCCTGGCAGGCGGAACAATCCACAATCATGT